GCTACCTCCTCTGAGGCAGTAGCCATGGAGGTGCTGGTTTCAAGCGCCCCTTCCTTTTCCATGTTGAGATCTTCCCCCAATCTTTGTTGGTCTATCCCTCGACTCTAGGGACAGTGACTGGAACTCGGGGCCCCAGGATGGCTAGGTAAAAATTGTAGTTTTTGGTTTAATGTCATGGTTCCGACAAATGAAACCCTTCAAAAGAACTTTGAGGCATTGTTTTCCTTAAAGAATCTTTTATTCGGGAAAAAAGTATTGGCACTACATAGCTGAAACCAAAAACTAAATTCCCCTCCCCTGGATACAAAGTAACAATGTACAATTCCCACCCCCAATAAACAGTCGTAAAGCATATTCCCCAATAAGCTTAAAACACAGGCTTTCTCCCCAGTTCTCCAGCCCGCCTAAAACACAAGCTTAAAACACAGGCTTTCTCCCCAGTTCTCTCAGCTCTGGGCCCAGTTGTCCTTGGGTTCCCAGGACAGAGTTATTGTTATGGCTAACTGAGCTCACATCCCAACCCCCCCTCCCTGCAATACAATATCTAGTACTGTGGAAAGGCTACCCATTAGCAGACGCTGAGTGGGTGGCTGTCCCTATTAGGGCGGCAAGGTTAGTTAAGAAATTTCATATTAGGTATCTTCAATGGCCCCATTAAGGAATGTAGCAGTAGTTGGATTGTACGTAATAATGTGTATGTATGTATGTTTAATTTTGTTCCAGGTCTACTTTTCTTCCAGGGCGGGTCGGCATGTCAAGACTGATTCACCATTTCACCTACATTTTCTTCCTTGCTTGACAAGGGGGCTTGGCAAGATTGTAGAATGCAAAAGTGGGAGGGATGGTATCTAGATAACCAAGACATCTTTGAGAGCTTGGTGCTAATAAAGCCAAGGTCACTAATGCAGGTGCTCAGTGGAGAAGTGGACTTTTCCCATAATAAGAAGTATTACTATTGGATAATTTGAACACCCCGTAGGTAGGGGAAAGGGAATTTATTTTTTAATTAAATAAGCTTTTGAGCAGAAAAACCAGAGCTGATTTCACTTCTTCTGTGCCAATGTAAATTTTCACTAAAGTTAGGTTAATTTAGGTTAGGTTAATTTAATTTGTATACCGCCCTTCTCCCGTAGGACTCAGGGCGGTTCACAGCATATTAAAAACACAAATACAATATACAAGATACAAAAAATCATACAAAAATACACAAAATAACCCCACTGAAACCTAATTAAAAGCCAAATATTGATTGCTGTATTCCCATTAAAATTACTTTTTAAAAAACGTCCCTACCTAAAATCCCTACCTAAAATCCTCCCTAGGTCAGGCCCGCTTGCTGGAAAAGCCATGTCTTGAGGGTGCGGCGGAAAGTAAGGAGATCCGGAATCATCCGGATCTCGGGGGGGAGTTCGTTCCAGAGGGNGCGCACCCGGAAGACCACTGGTAACCAGTGCAGCTCGCGCAGCAGCGGTGTTATATGGGAGCGACGAGTCCCTCCCAACACCGCCCGCGCGGCCGCATTCTGGACCAGTTGAAGTCTCCGGGTGCTCCTCAAAGGGAGCCCCATGTAGAGAGCATTACAGTAGTCCAGGCGAGAGGTGACGAGAGCATGAGTGACTGTGTTATACTCTTGGTAAAATCATGTCCCAGAAGTTTCTTTTTTGGGAAATGCCAACTGGACAGTTGACACCATCCTCCGCAACACTGGTGGAATGGATGGACTCACTGAGACGCACATGGGTTACTGTCTGCAAGGCACTAGGGAAAGCAAGAGAGGCCCAGAAAAAGCAAGCTGATCGGAAAAGAGCCCATCAAAGGGAGTTCAGGGTAGGTGATAAAGTATACTTGTCCACCAAGTATTTAAACCTAAGACAGCCCTGTAAGAAGTTGGGTCCTAAGTATATAGGTCCTTTCTCCATTGTTCGATTTATAAACCCGGTGACAGTGGAGCTACAGATGCCAAGAAGTCTTAGGTGGGTCCACCCAGTGTTTCATTGCAGTCTGCTAAAGTCCTTTTGAGATTCCAAGCTAAGGCCAGTCAGAGGGACCCCTCCATCTCCAATCCTTATAAAAAGGGAGGAACACTATGAGATTAAGGACATGTTGGACTCTAGACACCATAGGGAAAGTTGCAGTATCTTGTGCAGTGGAAGGGGTATCCTATAGAATGGGTGGTGGCAAAGGACGTTAAAGCAGCCAGACTAATAAAGAAGTTTCACGCCAAGTACCCTAAATGACCAAAGTGAAACAGTGTTTTGTAAATTGCAAATTGTTTATGCTTTTGTGTATTTGAGTTCATTCCAGATGTATCGCTTTCTCTGGGTGTGTGTGTCAGCATGTCAAGAGTGATTCACTAGTTTTTTCTCCGCTCTCAACTTGACAACAATCGGGAGGGGGGTGATGGACTCACCTGTGGTGGGAATGGAATGCCAATAATCCATCTGCGGATCGTGAGGCTCTGCTTCCCCTCCAAGGACACACTATGCAGGTGATTGAACGATCCAGGCAGTTGCCATAACAAATGGAGCGTAGTTGATTGGACAATGCAATGGACTAAGGAGAGTGGTCAAAGGGGGAATTCAAATTTATGTGGACATTTGAGTGGGAAATTCAGAGCTGGTTTTGCTTCTTTTGTGCCAATGTAGTGTATTCAATAAAAGTATTACTTTGGGAAGAACAATGTCCCAGGATTTGCTAGCTGGACATCTGACACAAATGCCCTGCAGCTTTGGAATCATGGCTCTTCTCCAAGATTAGTAATCTGGCTTTCAGGAACATATAGCTTGGCCCCTACTCAGGCTAGACCCTCTTTTATTGTACATTCATTTTTGTGATCTTGGAACCACTTGTCCCCTTCTAATGCTGCCATTACTCACAACTCAACTGCGGTCATATCCCTCATTGGGACCATTGGGGGTACCTATAAAGAAACTTCTTAGCTAACCTTGCTGCCCTAACATCAGAAGAAGCCACCCACTCAGCATCTGCTAGCGGCCAGCCTTTCCACAGTACTAGATATTGTAATTTTCCCTTGTGATATCTGGAGTTGAGAATCTTTTTGATCTCATAGTGCTCCTCTCCCTTAACTAGAATGGGAGGAGAAGGAGGTTCTTGGACTGGCCTCAAGCCAGATTCGTAAAAGGGTTTTAAAAGACTGCAATAAAATATCAAATGGACCCGCCTGAGGTTTTTTGGCCACTTCAGCTCCACTGTGACAGGATTCTTGATCTGAATGATTTGGAAAGGCCCTATATATTTGGCACCTAACTTTTGCAAGGTTGCCTCAGGTTTAGATACTTGGTGGGTAGATACATCTTATTCCCCCACTCTAAATTCTTTCTGGGGGTCATTGAAGCAGATGATCAGGATGTCTTGTGGCCAATCATTCAGCCGTCAGGCCAGGTCGTGGAACTCTTGGGTGTACTCGTTATGCTGCTTCAGCCCTGGCTGATGGTCTTGATGTGGTGCCTGACTTTGCAGTTGGCAAAAGGGTCTTTAAAGCTCTTACTGAGTGCTCTCATGAAGGGATCAAAGTTCCTCAGCTCTGGGGCATTGTCATTGTGGAGGGTGAACATCCACCTCGCTGCAGCCCCTTCCAGGGCCATGGTGACACATCTCACCTTGCTGCTCTCCATGGCTATTTCAGGACTGTATTCCTGCATGTAGGTCCAGACCTGGGACAGGAAGAACCCCAACTGCTGAGGATTCTTGTCAAATTTCATGCTCAGCGGTGCAGTCTTTTGGCTCTTTTTCCTTGCTGGCGCCAGCCCCTTGGCCCCGCATAGGCTACCCCTCCAGGTACTGGGGCTATCGGTGCTGCTATTACTGCAGATCCAGCTCCCCTGCCACCTGCTGCGTGGATGCAGTTGCCCCATAAGTCCGTGAGGCTGGATGCGGTTCATCATCAACCCCCCACATAAACTTGATTGCTTGCTCCATCATCCAGTTGGCCTGACCATGCTTTCTGCCTATCTCCTCCTCCTCCTCCTCCTCCTCCTCCTCCTCCTCCTCCTCCTCCTGCTCTTCCAGCTCCATTCTCTGTTCCTGTTGGCAGCTGCCATGATTCCCATCAGTAAAAGTAGGTTCTTCTTCTCAGTCCTCTTTCCTCCCAATGCCTAGGAACCACTTGGGTCTCAGCAGGTCGTTGTAGCTCTCTGCTTCTCTTGTCCACTTGGAGAGATCCAGCTGGGAGGGGGCCTGGACAAAGCCTCCAGCATTTGATCCCCTTGAGCCGACATTGTGGGTATGGTCCCCATGGTAGAGGTGATACCCTTTCTGGATTGACTACAATTGCAGATTCTGCTTAATGTCAGACCTGCCCCAGTTTGATCTCTTAGTGAAATAAAACTCTCAACTCCATTTGGTTAAAGTGAAAAGGCACTTTTACTGAGACACATTGCAGTAAAGTCAAGCAGAATCTAAAATCCCCGTGCACCATTACAGAACTAAAACTGCTGGTTTCCCCTAGCCTCCCCCCCCCCCGTGGTCCATCTTTGAGTAGCCAATCTGGCACCACAAAAATGTTTTGGGAAATGCTGAGGTGTTTGTGCTGGTGAAATTCCACTCTCAGGGTAGACAGCCTTGAAGATGCCAGTCTAGCACGAACTGGATTCCAAACCACTCTGTTTTTTCTCACATGACAATTCCCCCTCCCAATTTCCCATCATAAAGTATACAGCTTTATTGCCCATTTGTTCCCCCCCCTTCCCCAATTGATGGCAGAACACCAGTCAAACTGAAGGTGGTGGATCTGAAGTCACTATTTTCAGCTCTGTTATAACTTTGGTCATTAAATGAATGGTCATATGTCAAAGATTACCTGTACTAACACTTTTCTATTTAGAGATTTTGTTTGGCTTTGAACTGGAAGGTATGTATTCTTTGAAGCTCCCCCTTTAATTGCAATGCCCAAGCTTGGTTTTTTGAAGGCAGGTGGGCAGCTGGAGGAGCAAGCAGGGCAGGGGCTGCCTGGGCTTCACCTGGATTTCTCTTCCTTCCAGCAATGTCCTCCAAGTGGAAGGAGCTTCCGGGAGGAGCAGTGTTCCTCCTTCAACTCCCGGGTCTACAACGGGCGCACTTTCCACTGGAAACCTTTATATCCAGGTAAGCAAGTGGCACTCTTTGGTCTTTGCAGCACAAAGCAGTGTTGAAGGTTTAAAATGAATGAGGCTCTTTCCTGCTCTAGAAAAAAGGAAAATCTGTGCAAAGTGCCTTGTGTTTTGTTATTTTATTTTTATTTTAAAGATTTATACAGCCACCCATTTTGTAAAATGCAACTGGCTAGCTTTCAGGGAGCTTAAGTGGGTGGACCCCACCTGTTCTCCAGGGGAAGAGTGTCCACAGGGTAGTGGTGGCTAAGGAGAATACGACTTTTTTGAAAGCCTTAGGTGGGAAGGGCGTGGAACAGACCCACCCTGTCCAATCTGGAGGAATTGCCAGTACCCTCAGGGAGAAGGGGTCTGCAAATAACATGGCTCTGTGCCATTCATTGATAACCAGCACCTTGAATTGCAAATTGAAAGAATCTCACACAGTAGTGATGCCACATGGGCAAACCAAGGGGTGCTCAGCACTGCACCAGCTGCCACATTCTGGACTAGTTGTCATTTCTGTGAGGTCTTCAAGGGTGGCCCTAGGTGGAACACATTGTAATAATCTAGCCAAGAAGTGACACGTGAGAGTCCCAGTCCAGGAACAGGTTGAGTTGACACATGGGATGCATCTGTGCAAAGGCCTCAGCCATAGTTGCTACCTTAAAAAGGAGCAGCAAGAGACCCAGCCCTGCAGCACCCCACATTCTAGAAGCCCAGGGCTAGACCTCTGCCATATACCAGCCCTGGCTGGAACTGCCCCCCCCCCCTGAAAGGAGGAGAACCCATACAAAGCAGTGCCTGACTCCCAGTTCTCACAGCTGGTCAAGAAGATTACGATGGTCAATGGTACTGAAAGCTGCTGAGAGGGCCAGGCCACTTGGATTACCCAAGCTCTCCAGAGTTTATTCCCAAGGGCAATGAACACGGTTTTAAACTGTTACCTAACTGCAGGGCCCCCAGATAACCCGCTTCATCTAGGGCCTCCTGGAGTTGAAAGGTAACCCCCTCTTCCTCACCCTAATCCTAGATAAGAAATAGTGGGGATTTGATGGAAGTTGTCCAATATAGTCTGGTCCAAAGATGGCTCTTTAGGAGGGGGTAAATCACTGTCCCCTTCAAGGCAGGCACAACCACCCCTTGCTGCAAAAAGACATTAACCACCACTTGGACCCAACTACTGGATCCTCCTGGGGGGCTTTGACCAACTAGAAGGGGCATGGGTCTGGCACACAGGTGGCTGAGATCACAGCCATGAGGACCTTGTCATGAAACTGACCAAAGAGAGAAACAACCTGAAATTAAGGAGAAGCTTCCTGACAGTGAAGACAATCAACCAGTGGAACAGCTTACCCCCAGAAATCGTGGGAGCTCCATCAGTGGAGATTTTTATGAGGAAACTGAATATTTACCTGTCTGAGACGGTATAGGTTCTTCTGCTTGAGCAGGGGGCTGGACTAGAAGACCTCCAATGTCCCTTCCAGTTCTATTCTATTCTATTCTATTCTATTCTATTCTATTCTATTCTATTCTATTCTATTCTATTCTATTCTATTCCATTCCATTCCATTCCATTCCATTCTATTCTATTCACCTCAAGATGTGCAAGAGTATGTGGGAAAGACCTTGGGAGACGGGGTGAAGAGAGGCTGCCTAGAAAACAGACTGCATAGCCTGCAGCTGGAGAGCGGGTGAGGCAAGAGGGTCAGAAGAGACCCTCCCTTTAGTTCCTCGGACTGTAAAGGAGATAGCAAGAGAATTGTACTTTCAGGCATTCGTGATTCTATTTATGTAGAATGAGCTCATCTGGATATTTCTTGTCTGGTCTACCTAGCAAGGCTAGCAGGATTGACTGATGCAAACTCCTCCTATATACATTTTCCATGTATCAGATGCAAAGGAGGTTTTATAACCTAAAAAAAAAGAAACTGTATTGGTAATTGCATTGATTATTTAGCAACTCCGGGTCTCCCTCTTCTCCCTTCAGATGACTATGTCCACATCTCTAGCAAGCCCTGTGATCTCCACTGCACCACCACCGATGGGCAGAGGCAGCTGATGGTCCTGGCCCGAGATGGCACCTCCTGCAAATCCTCTTCTTTCCGAGGGGTGTGCGTGTCTGGAAAATGTGAGGTTGTTAAGCATTCTAGCTACCCTCTTGCCTGTAGAATTCTTCCAGCTGCTCTGGCTGCCTCTCAAGGCACTCTTTCTTTCTGCTGCTTCTAGCCCATCGGATGTGATGGGGTTCTGTTCTCCCCCCACGTTCTGGATAAATGCGGGGTCTGCCAAGGGAATGGCAGCAGCTGCACTCATGTAACAGGGAGCTACCGGAAGGGAAATGCTCCGCTTGGTAAGGCGGGGGGGGGGACCTTGGGGACGGCTTTAGCCCTGAGCAAGTTCAGCCTTGGGTAGGGAGGCCAAGCATAGGGAGGATCCGATCCCCTTCTTCTGGTGATTGTAACCACTGTGGTGATTTGCTTCTTACTCATAAGTGCACTGTTCTGCAGGATACTCTTTGGTGACTCACATTCCTGCTGGAGCAAGAGATATCCAGATAGTTGAAAGGAAGAAATCTGCTGATGTTTTGGGTTTGTATTATACCTAGAACAATAACCAATAAAACCTTTATTTCTTGTATTCTTCTTAGGAAGCAAAATATTTTTATTGTAACCTAATCCTACCCTGATCTTTTTGGTTTCATGATCATAAAATCTCCAAGTTCACCTTGCTTGCTTGCTTGACATTTTTCTTGTTCCTGTGCCCTTTTCTCTTAGCAACATGTCTGGCCTCTCCTCAAAACAATAATCTGCTCCCCAACTTCCTCTTGCTAACACCGATCATGAAGCCCTGGTCATGATACAGATTCCCATGGTGGGCTGGGTAATTGGGGTGTTATTTCATTCAATGGCCATTACACAGAATAGCATCGCAGAGCAGCGCTATCATCTGTGACCAGTACAGAAAAGAAAGTGGGTGTTGGTCCATCTTTCAGTAACTCCCATCGTACAAATCATGGCCTCTCTTTGTGGATTTTGTAGCTATTGCAGATGAAGGTGGTTCTTACTTCTTCAACGGGGATTTCAGAGTAGACATCCCCAAAAACTTCAATATTGCAGGGACCATCTTCAAATACAGGAGACCAATGGACATTTTTGAGACAGGCATAGAATATATCGTTGCCCAGGGACCTACCAATCAGGGTTTAAACATCATGGTAAGTTTTGATTCTTGGAACATATGAATATCTTTCAGTGCATAAATGTCTTGTTAGCAGTATGCAAACATAGAAAATACATTGTAGAATCATAAAGTTGGAAGATACTCTGATGGTCTTCTAGCCCAAACACCTTGCCCGGGGCAGGAATCCCCCAGCCATCCCAAACAAATGGTGATCCAATTTTTGCTTCCAACCTCCAGTGATGAAAGCTTTAAGACAGGCATGTCCAAAGTCCGGCCCGCGGGCCATTTGCGGCCCGCGGCCCGGTTTAATCCGGCCCTCGAACAGCCCTCCCTGCTCTATGTAAATGCGGCCCTCCCGCGGCCCTCCGGCAAGTCCCATGAGAGAGAGAGAGAGAGACAGAGACAGAGACAGAGGTACTTGCACTTGCACTTCTGTCTCTCTCTCTCTCTCTCTCATGGGACTTGCCCCCTCGCAGGGCTCCTCATTGGCCCTGCGCCCGGGTGTCCCGCCCCCTGGGAGAAGGGCGGCCAGGAAGTCCCTTTCCCGGGCTGGCCC